TGCCGTCTTCAAACGACGACGGTCTCCACCGTCATTCTCCCGGCAATAGAATCTCATCGATGAAAGAGGAGGCAGAACCGATTTCCGTTGCTTCAAGGCTTAATTCTGCTCCTCTACCTTCTTCCACCGCTTCTTCGGTTCCATCGCCGTCGCCTAGACCGAGGAATGGTAGCAGTATTTCTGGTGGTAGTGGTGATTATGGAAACTCCGTTGTTCCTTCCGCTGAGGACTTTTCCCGCCATGCTCATGTCACAGCAGAGGTTCGTCAATGCAACCTTCCTTTTTTTGGTTTATCAATGCAACTTTCCTTTCTCCTATTGCAATTGAAGTTTTGTATCTTCTTTTTTATTGGGTTTTGTTAGTTATCGAAGAAGGTGATTAATATGAAGGAATTGAGGAGTCTAGCTTTACAAAGTTTGCCGGATTCTCCTGGGATCCGTTCTACTGTCTGGAAGGTTGGTATTACAAGAATCATGATCAGTTTACAGAAAACAGAATCTATTTTGTGGTAATGCAACAGTGCATGGAACTGAGACTGAGAGTCTATCTATATGTATTACTGGGACATTGAAATATGATTCACTTTGCAGCTTTTACTTGGCTACTTGCCACCTGAACGTTCACTATGGTCAGCAGAATTGAAACAAAAGAGATCACAATACAAGCACTATAAGGATGAACTCCTGACGAGTCCTGTAAGTGATCCTGGTCTTTCGTTTCTTGCCTAGGAGTTATTGCCTGTGTTGCATGATATGGCCATCTAGTTTGATTTCAAGTATTTGGATTTATTCTCCCTCTTGTGGAACTTTCTTAATCGGATTTCTCATCTAGAAAGCACAATTTTATTTTCTTGAAATGTGTTTGTACCTCTAAATAATTATGTGGTAGTTAGTCAGAAATCACATGGAGATTGGTGAGGTCAAAGGGATTTGACAATTATGATATGAAGAGTGAAAGCCGATGCATGCTTGCCCGATCCAGGATAACTGATGAAGACCATCCTTTAAGCCTAGGGAAAGCGAGCGTCTGGAATACATACTTCCAGGTACTATATCTTGCATCCTGAGCAGGTCCTTCATTGTTAAAATCTTATAGAAATACTTAAGTACTTTACTTTAAGGACATGATATTCAGTTTTTCCACCAGTTCCAACATCAACTCTTCTATTAATGTAGGATACGGAGACTATAGAACAAATAGACAGAGATGTCAAGCGTACACATCCAGACATACCCTTTTTCTCTGGTGAATCATCCTTTGCTCATTCGAATCAGGTAACATTTTTGTGTCCTCATTAGCAAATTCTCACCTATTGTTGATTAATCAAGCTCAGTGACGTTTCCATTTACATACATGTCTAGGAATCTATGAAGAATATATTGCTTGTGTTTGCGAAGTTAAATCAAGGCATCAGATATGTTCAAGGAATGAACGAAATTTTAGCACCTATCTTTTATGTATTCCGTAACGACCCTGATGAAGATAATTCAGTAAGTGGTCTTCTTTTGTTTCTTTGCTACCCATAAGACTACTTTTTTATGATAGGGTATAGAGTTTCAAGATAACAGTGCCAGTCTAGACCCTCAATATTTTCAGTCAACTTTAACTCTATGCAAATTATCCAGGCCCATGCTGAAGCTGATGCGTTCTTCTGCTTTGTTGAACTGTTGAGTGGATTTCGAGACTTCTACTGTCAACAACTTGACAATAGTTTGGTTGGAATCAGGTCCGCAATAACAAGGCTCTCACAACTTGTTAGGAAGCATGATGAGGAACTTTGGCGTCATCTAGAGATCACCACGAAAGTAAGACACTGTTTTGTCTCTCCATGTTTGTCATTCTGCTACTATAGTCCTAATAATTTACGTTGTGCATAAGTTAAATACCTCGATAGCTAAACATGTGAACAAGCCTACTATAGTATTCTTGTTTTCTCATCTACAATATAATAGAAATGGATCATATACGCTCTTAGATTGACATTGTATAGATCATATGGATTACAGGTAAACCCACAGTTCTATGCATTTAGGTGGATCACTCTCCTCCTTACACAAGAGTTTAGTTTCTTCGACTGTCTTCATATATGGGATGCACTCTTAAGCGACCCCGAAGGTCCTCTGGTAAGATTGCAATATCTTCTCGCAGTGAAGCATCAAATCAATAGATGAACCAAGACTCATTTATTCTCTGTTTCATCAAATTAATGTGTGCTTGAATTATAGAACTCAGTTATCTTGCATTGTTGCAGGAAAGCTTACTCGGGATATGTTGTGCGATGTTGGTACTGGTGAGGAGGAGGCTGATCGCCGGGGACTTCACATCGAATATGAAATTACTTCAACACTATCCAACTACCAATATCAGCCATCTATTGTATGTAGCAAATAAACTTCGTTCCAAAATGTTAGTTTAAGTCTCCTTTTTTTCTTAACATTTGATCAAACCAACTTTTAGTTACCAATTACAATAAGCAAAGCTTTGTTTGTTTTACACGGCCCATCCGCTTCACTCTTTAAATTGCAATATGTTTGTTGGTTACGGTGTCGTCGATTTTGGAGATTTTCCGTGTCTATAATTTTTTTGTTTTCGTTATATTTGTTTTTGTCAAAACACTGATCAAATTTAATCCTGAATCATTAAAACCCGAATAATTCGAATAAATAACCGAATTCAATTTTAAAAGGTTAAATGCGATTAGTGCGCGCATTAATTGTTGAATAATGTTTTACCATTTATACCTTACGACCTATAGACGTTAAGAGGAAACATAAAAGTAAGCTAACACAAGAATAATTCGGAATGAATGCAATAATAGTCTCGCAAGTTCAGAATTTTTTTTGTTTCTTTGTTTACACAACAGAAAACAAGTTACCCACTAATCAAGAAACAAAATCAAGGAGAAGCGTATTCAAAGGCCTGTGGAGGTTGTGGCTCATCATCTACTGCCATAGCCGAGGCGGTGGTTGCTTGTTGGCCTTGGCCTGTAGCTGCTGCACCACTAGCAGGTGATGCTGTTGAAGTTGGTGCATCGGTCAGAGACAGAACCTCAGGCTCATCCGGCCGCAAGTCTCTGAGAAGGACGAACCCTGCTGGAGCTAGCTTCACCGGTACGTATCTGCTATCCTCCATTAACTTTATGTATTTCTCCTGTGAAGGGACTACACGCGCCGGGTTTACTAGAATCTCAAACGTTGCTTCTGGCTCAGCCTTCTTCTCCACCGTCGTAGCTATGCTATCGACCTGACACAGTAACATATAGAATCTATACTTAATGTTCCAAACATGATCAAGAGATTGTCTGTGTTCAGACCATAACAGAAACTTACTAATTTTAAGTAGACATGTTAGAAGAAAATGTTGAGAATTTTGATTAATTTACCTGCATAGCATCTGCTTCCTTCTCATTTGACGTTGCTTTTCCTTTTCCAGCTCCACTTTCAGTACCAGACTTTTCAGCATTAGCTTTTTGCTCTGCTTCCTTCTTAGCCCTAGCTTTGGCTTTGGCTGAGATTGAGAGCACAGCAGTTGGTAATTTAGCAGCAGTGTTGGCAGTAGCAACCGTAGTTGGTTTTGGATACTCGAACAAAGATGGCTTCGCGTGCGACATGAATTCAAACTTTGGGACTTTGAGATCGTAGTTCAAACCGATGAAGGCGGTTGGTGAGAATGCCAAGCTTATGAAGTAAATCAACGGGTACCAATACCAAAACTGGCTGAAGACAGCAAGGCCGATGACAGCAGTGACCTTGTCATGCTTTGTCTTTGAGAGCAGTCTTATCGTCACATTCCTTCCACCAGCATCAAGAATGCCTGAAGCTAAAATGGCTCCCATTTTGCTCATTGTATCTTCATGCTTGTCAAGTATTATCTTCTCAAGTTGACGCCTGCAAAAACACAGAAAAAAATTAGTCTACAAAAGGGAACTATTCTCGGCCTCCCATTGGTGAAGAGATCAGAGCTTCACTAACCTAAATGCTCCAACGCGAG